GCCGGAGCCCGGGAGGGGAAGTGCCCGGCCGGCGGCTGGGGTCCGGAGGCAAGGGGGCTGCCCGAAGCCCATAGAGCTCGGGCAGCTCGGCTCTTAAACAGAGCCGAAGAGTCAGGGGAGGAGCAGAGCAGCCGCGGGAGGGGAAGTGCCAGGCCGGCATTTTCCCGGACATGTTCGGCTTTTTGGCAATTCTCCCCGGACGGGGGTTTGATTGCCGAAAAGCCGGACATGTCCGGGAAAAAACGGACGTATGGTAACCCTAACTTACCACAATACTTGGCTACAAGTCACAAAAGTCATTTAGTCAGAATGACCCAGGTATCCCAGACTTCCTCTTTCAAACTTTAATTTTTAAATCACTACACTTCATCGGGGAAATGCTGGCTTCTTTATAAAAACAACCTTCTCTTCCTCTTTATACTATATTAGAAGATAAAATTGCTTCAAACTATTAAGAGATGATCTGATTCCCATGAAGATGGAATCATTTCAAAAGATTTTTCTTTGCTGCAGACAATACATACGGATTTTATCCACTCGAAATAGAGTGGAAAGGAAACTAACCATCTAAGTTTTAAAGCAGGCAAATTTCCAGTCTATAAGGAGAACCAATTAAATATTGACCAGGATGTAAATTCAAACCCTCACGTTTCTCCATTGCTTCTTAGTTTAAAGTCTGTCTACACAGGTGTAACGTATTTTGCAAAGAGATCCATCCAGGTGACCCTTTGCAACCATGACAGGTACCATTGTAATCAACAGGACTCCTTACAGATCGCTTTGCAGAATGGGGTGTGTACGTATACACACATATTTGTGTATGTACATGGACACGTGGCCACACACCCATTTTCCTGTGCAATATAGTATAGTATGTATTAATATGACAGTTTTAGCCTTGACTTATATTATACCATACAATAACCTGCATACTGTATTATACAAAACCTAAAGAGAGACTAAAAACGCAGAAATGAAAGCATTTTCAGTTTCAACAAGGTGTAATAAAACTTGTGATTGTCCAAGGATGCAGCACACACCTTGGAGATATATTAACATTCTTTTTCTTGTTTTTTCTAGATGTTCTATTTCTATTCCAACTTATATTTGATAAATTGCCTTCTCTTTTCTCCTGAGATCTCTTCTTCCTATAAGCCTCTTCTTGCTGAAAAGGTAAAAACATGAACTAGTGAGATGTCTATTATCAATGAAGTAACCTTGGTAAATTCAGGTCAGTGGTTTTATCTAGGCAAAGTACATTCACAAAATGACTCTTTTAGAATTACTGGAAGATTTAGTGCCACTTTCCAAGATCACCACTTAATCTACCTACCCAAGATTCAGACCTTCATATCACCTGTAAATGTTGAGAGAGAAAAGTTTCTGAATCTCCAATGTGCTAGCATTTCCCCCCTTTCCTTCCCTGCCCCTGAGCAAAGTTGGGAGTGCAGAGGACGACAGGGGAAATGATATATACAATTCTTAATGGACTAAAAACTAGAAACATCTCCTTGATTTGTGATCAGCTTGTGGGAGAGTTCAGCAGCAATAAATTCTCTCTTCCCTCAGCTATTGGTGGTGTTCCCTTTGTTTATCTGAAATACTATTGAAGAAATAATGGGGATAAGTAAAACAGAAAATATTAGGAAATTTAAGTTTTAATTTATATTGGACTTAAAACAAAATAGACCACCCCCAGAAACACATGAAAAGCCGCAGAACATGGCCAAAAGCCACTTATAACCGCATTAACATTTTCTCAAAACAAGAGTAGGATCCAGCAAATGTTTTCAATATGTGCTCCAGAAGTACAACATGTAATTTATTATTAAAGCTTTTCATGAAGGCATTAGATAGAGCAGGGGGCAGAATCAGAAAGGTTCTATCAGTGAATTTAGGAAGCCACTTAAACTCTCTGTAATGTAAATACAATACTTGTAAAGCTCTTGAAATCTTTGAACAGAAGATGCTATCTTGTAGGTTCCTGGTGATTATTACTATTTAACAATTTGTGTAAATGAATTCATCTTTTGTCATGCTCAAATTCAGTTCCTGGCACAGAGGTTAGAGTCATAGGTTCCAAGGCCAGAAGGGAACATTGGGATCATCTAGTTGGACCTCGTGTATAACAGGCCATAGAACTTCCCCAAAATAACCAGAGTGAAAGGGGGAAGGATGATCCTTGTTTGCAAGATAGCTCTCCAACAAGGGTTGGAGGAGGGAGCTCCCGCAACACACTGCTGACAATGTTGCTGACACTTGGTGTTAGATTTAAGTCAGACTGTGTAAGTGTGTGCTTGTGCCTGCACTAATATTAATTGCATGGAAACAAATGTGTTTGTGATATAGCCCACATTACATATAAAGCCTACTTGGGAACTTCACCAAAACATCTTTTATCACTTTATAATCCAGTTTTAATACATAAAACTAGGACACAGAGAGTATCACAACCTGGGGGTTCTACTCATTCATCAGATGATCAGTATGTGATTTTAGGATTTATTCTTTACAGAATGTTTCTCTCTCTCTTTTAGTTTAGGCATTTTAAATATGAAATGGAGAAGGATCATATAATACAAACCTCAACTGAAGCAAGTTCCTGTTTTCCACAGCATGGTGTATCCTCCTTAGGGCCTTTACTAATCTTTTTCTCAGTGGAAGGCTTTGTGTTAATCTGCTTTTTCAAAGTCTCACAGTTTTCTATTTCATTCCTGAGAGGCACTTGCTGGTTATTCCCTGGAGTGAAACAATACAAATAGTGTAACTTTGGGAAGACCATGAGGCTCCCATTCCCTTCCCCGGTCACTCCACCTTGACAAACATTTTCAAACTTGGATGCTTCGCAAAACACTATGATTATCAATCATTTTGTTTTGCTGCTTATCCCAAAAAACCAAAAATCCAAAAGTTAACATTGCTGTGTAACACTTCTAAAACCAACTGCAAGAGGCAGTTTTATATATAGCAGTACTAATATACACTTCTCCTATATACCCACCCTGTTATAATCACCCTACGTCAGTTGGTTCTTTAGTCCCTATGTACAGTTAGGACCACGCTGGGGGCACACTCAGCTAAAACTCTCAACCAGGCTCTCATCATCTTACATCTCAATTGCTACAACATCCTTTTCTCTGGCTTTAATAAATGCAATCTAGCCTCATCATATTTATTCAGAATGCTGCTGCAAACATCATTCTTAGTCCTCTTTTTACATCCCTCCACTGGCTCCCTTTTCTCTAGCACATCAAACATAAGCTACTTGTTTTACTTTCAAGACTCTTCGTGGCCTATCCCCACCCAATCTACCATCTCTCATTCACCATTGAAATGTCAGCTTCCACCGCCCATTGCCCCATCAGGCCAGCCTCCATAGACAACCTATTTACATTTTCAAACAAGCACATTGGTGCTTTCTCCCTTGCTGCCCCCTCCCCACAAACACCCACAAAGCTAACATCTTGTCTACATGGGGAGTTACTCTGGAAAGGCTATGACTGATTAGCTCCATTTGTGGATGCTCTTATTCTAGAATGAGAATGCCTTATTCCAAATTATCTTAATCCATTTCTAACCTGGATTAAGACAGTTCAGAATAATGCACTCTCATTCTGGAATAAGAGCGTCCACACATGGAGTTAATCTGAAATAGTAAATCTGCTTTAAATTCACATTCTGCTTTATTCCAGATTAACTTTCATATGTAGACAAGCCCTTATTCACTATCTTCCTTCAAAACCCTCCTTAAAACTCCCTCTGCTGTGATGCCTACAAAAAACTTGTCCATGGTTAGGCTGCTAGTGGGCTGAGATCACAGCCCATCATGCTGCCAATGTTGCCATTGCTTCCTTATGCTCCCGTCTATTTGTTGTTATCCGTATGTTGTACCATACATAGATTGTAAGCTTTTTGAGATAGGGATCGTCTTTTGTTCTGTGTTTGTACAGCAGCTAGCACAATGGGATTCTGGGTCATGACTGGGGTTCCTAGGTGATATGGCAATACAAATAGCAAATAATGAAAACAACAGCTACAAGGATGCACTTGGGCAAGGATTTTTGGTTGTGGAACTCTCACCTAGAAGTTAGCCAAGTTTCCCTCTCTGGCTGCTTTTAGGTAACTTAAGGTCCATTTATTCTGTTTGACCTATCATCAGGCTGGGTGGATCTTTTATTTTTAATGTTAGCGTTCTGCACTGATATTATTGTACAATATTTAACTGCATTATAAATGCACTGAATTCTTCAGCTGCAAAATATTAAGAAATACAGACATTTGAGATTACCCTGCAACCTAATGACAAGGTTTTTGGCTGCACTGCACATGGCACGCATAAGGAACAGGAGTACTAAGGTCATGACTATACCACAGATCAAACCGCAGTGCTGATCTTTGGTGGGAAGGGTACGCCTGTCCCAATCTCATTCTTCTGTGCTCCTTATTAGCCAGTTTACTAGTAGTGCCTGCAGCCTCTGAGGAAGTTAACCCTCCCTCCTCTGTGAATGGCAGCATCACAGTGGCAGTGGCATGGATGAACATGGAGTGGATAGGGAAGAGTGAAGAACCATCACAAAACAAAGCAATGAGCAAGATCAGAGACCAGAGCTAAAAAAACATGTTACTAGTCTTCTAAAAAATGTGTCACTGCTTTCCAAGATGTAACACACGGAGTAAAGTGTTTCCTGAAGAATTCCTGGTGCCACAAATATTCTCTATAATTAACAGTTATTCATGTTTCATATTGGTATGATTCAGATTTAATTTATAGTCCCAAACCATCTACAAATTAAACCACAGAACTTTAGACAGCCAGCAAACCCAGAAAATGCCAGGAGTCAAGAAATAATTGAGACAACGCTTGTTTGTTTCATTGTTTGCTCATTTTGTTCTTAAAATTTTGATAATTAAGCAATCATGAGAACTCTGGAAATGTTCTATGAAGGAGTTATATTCCAAACAGCAGATTTTAAAAGACTCAGAGCTGGTAAGTAAGAAAGAAAATCTGGGAAGAAAATCTAAGGGAAAAAGGAGTTCCGGAGAGAAGTTTCTCAAAGAAACAATATTAAAGGTGCAACAGCTGACTATCCCAATGTGAAGGAAAGATAGGATCAATAGTAGAAGTCCAATATGGCTCCATCAGGAGCTCTTTCATGACCATAAAATCAAAAAGGAATTCTACAAAAATACAAATTGCTAAGGCTGAATACAAAACAATAGCACAAGCATGTAGGGACAAAATGAGAAAGACCAAGGGACAAAATAAGTTACATCTAGCAAGGGACATGAAAGGAAATAAGTTCTATAAATATATAAGAGAAAGACAAAGGGAAATGTAGGTCCTCTACTTAGTGGGGAAGGAGAGCTAATAACGGGTGACATCAAGAAGGCTGCGGTGCTTAATGCCTGTTTTGCTTCATTATTCACTAAAAAGGTAAACTGTGACCAGATATAATTAATATTAACAACATGCGGGAAGGAACACAAACCAAAATAAGGAAAGAACAAGTTAAAGGATATTTAGATAAGTTAGATATATATTCAAGTCAGCAGGGCCTGATGAAATTCATCCTAAGGTACTTAAGGCAACTTGTTGAAGCAATCTCAGAAGTATCGGCAATTATCTTTGAGGACTCATGGTGGATGGGTGTAGTCCCAGCGGACTAGAGAAGAGCAAACATAGCACCTATCTTTATAAAGGGAAAGAAGGAGGACTCGGGGAAATTACAGATCAGTCAGCCTAACTTTGATAACTGGAAAGATACTGGAACAAATTGTCAAACAACCAATTTGTAAGTACCTTGTTCTCAACCTATTTATCATTGTGGGCTGCACATGCAGCCCACAATGTGTTACCTGGGCCACGGCTCTCCTCCCCCAACCCCTTCCAAAGACCTCTACGCCCAGTGCCTCCCGCCCAGAGACCCACTCCACAGAGTGGGGCCAGGAATGGAGCCCTGAGCTGGGTAGTAGGGCAGCCAGGCAGCAGCCCGAACCCTGACCCTGCGGGGTTGGCCTGACCCTGACCCCTGCCACGCGGGGCTGGGTGGCTGCCCTGGACCCCAGTTGTGCAGAACCAGCTGGCAGCCCTGACCCCAGAACCCCGCCACGCTGGGCAGCCGGGAACCCAGACCCAGCTGCACACCCAGGCAGTCTTTAGCACACAGCTGGGCTGCAGCTGTGTGCTAATTGGGCTGCATGTGGCTGGAGGGTTGAGAATGGCTGACCTAGAAGATAATAGGGCTATTAGTAATAACCAACATGGATTTGCCAATAACAAATCATGCCAAACCAACCTAATTTCTTTCTTTGATGGGGTTTCTGGCCTCATAGATGGGGGTAAAACTGTAGACATGATATATCTTTATTTCAGTAAGGCTTTTGACAATCTCATTTGACATTCTCATAAGCAAACTAGGGAAATGTGGTCTAGATGAAATTACTATAAGGTGGGTGCACAACTGGTTGAAAGACCATATTCAAAGAGTAGTTATCAATGCTTCGCTCGGGGTGTGTATCTAGTGGAGTCCCATAGGCATCAGTCCAATACCATTCAATTATTTTCATTAATGACTTGTAAAAAGCAACAGAGTCCTGTGGCACCTTTAAGACCGTGGGTGAATGCCCAGTTCATCGGATGCATGCACGAAAGCTTATGCTCCAATACATCTGTTAGTCTTAAAGGTGCCACAGGACTCTCTGTTGCTTTTTACAGATCCAGACTAACACGGCTACCCCTCTGATTAAGGACTTGGACAATGGAGTGGAGAGTGTGCTTATAAAATCTGTAGATGACACCAAGCTGGCATTGCTAGCACTTTGGAGGACAGCATTAGAATTCAATACAACCTTGGAGAATTGGTCAAATCAACAAGAAGAAATTCAAGAAAGACAAGTGCAAAGTACCTCTTTAGGAAAGCAAATCAAATACACAACTAATAAATGGGGAATAAATGGCTAGGCAGCCGTACTGCTGAAAAGGTTCTGGGGGTTATAGTGGACCACAAATTGAATATGAGCCACCAATGTGATGCTGTTGCATAAAAGACTAATATCATTCTGGAGTGGATTAACCGGAGTGTCATATGCAAGACATAGGAGGTGACTTGTCTTGCTCTACTTAGCACTGTTGAAGTCTCAGCTGGAATACTGTGTCCAGTTCTGGGCACCACATTTCAGGAAAGATGTGGACAAATTGGAGAGAGTCCACAGGAGAGCATCAAAAATGACAGAAGGTTTAAACAACCTGACTTATAAGGAAAGGTTAAAAAAACTGGGAATGTTTAGTCTTGAGAAAAGATGACTGAGTGGGAACTTGATAACAATCATCAGATAACTTAAGGGCTGTTACAAAGAAGACTTATCAATTGTTCTCTATGTCCAGTGAAGGTAGGACAAGGCAGCAAGGGAGAATGAGGTTAGATATTAGGAAAAACTTTCAAATTATCAGGATAGTTAAGCTTCCAAGGAAGATTGTGGAATCCCCATCATTGGAGGATTTTAAGAACAGGTTAAGACAAACATCTGTCAGTGATGGTCTGGTATACTTGGTCCTGCCTCAATGCAGGGGGCCGGACGAGATGATCTCTCGAGGTCCCTTCCAGCCCTACATTTATGTGATTCTCTATTTTGTCATACTAAAAATGACTCTATAAATAATCATTTATTTTTGTTAAGAATGCAATGCCATTTACAATAGGAAGCAGCTTGGTTTAGGTATAATGCATGATCTCTCTGAACTGTAACTGAAGATATTTTCCCATGTATTTGATTATGTTTAAAAGTGTAATCAATGTTTTTAAATTTTATTTAGCAGCTTTGAAAATATAAAGTAGGTGAATAACAACACTGTACTTCTAGAGAATCTGAAGAATTTCAAAGCACTTTATAAATATTAATTAAATTAGTTTGTCAACATGTCTGAGATGAGTAAGCAGTAGTACTGTAAATCCATTTAACAGATGAGGGAATACTCAGGGTAACTGACTGGCTCAGGGTCAAATAGTTAGTCTGTGGCAGAGCCAGGAACAGAACCCAGATCTCCTTATTCTCAATCCAATAAAAACGGACTTATCAACGGAATATTTGGGATTCAATCAATGGATTTGCTTTTCCCACATTCTCAGTGAAAACACATGTCCACAAGAAATATTCCTTTGACTTCCTAACCAACATTTCTCCTAAGTGTTCTTGTGCCTCTTCCCCAAGGCTAGTCTCTCAATTTAAAGTCATGAGCTAAACATCTCTTGAGTCTCTGATAGAAATGGCAACTTGTGAATTCCTAATAATGTGAGAACTTCCAAATACCCTGGTGGCAGCTTCTGGCCCTTTTAGGTTACAATATTATTACAAAAGCCAGATACCTAACTTTCAGAAGTGCTAAGCACAACTCCAAATGAAGTCAGTGGGAACGCTAGCAAGTCAGCAATCAGACCCCAGATTTTCAGTGGGCCTAAATAGTAAACAGGTACAGTTACATTTCCCAGAGTTTAACTTCTTTTTTTTTAGATTTAAATAATTTCAATATCTGACCAAGGACAAATTGTATTTTAATCATAACTTTGATGAAAATATGTTTGTCTCTTAACTTTGTTTTAACCTTTATAAATATTATGGTGTGAACTTATGCACCGAAGCAACTGTGAAGTCCTAAAACTTTATTATATCCATATTATATGAAACTTGCTTTCAGTTTCAAATTTTCAGAAATACCCTTGAAGTTGCATCTTAGCCGCAGTTTTGATTTACAACACAAAGGAATTTTTCTGGCCAGATCCTCTTTCTTGCAAATCTGCATAAACGTATCAAAAGCAAGAGGCATGAGTAAAATATCCTCACACAAAGGGTGAAATCCTATCCCCATTGAAGTGAAGGAATGTTTTGCCATTGACTTCAATGGGGCCAAGATTGTCACCCAAGAAGTCCAATAATTTCAAAATGAATTCTATAAATGGAAAGATTACCATTATTTTTCCTGGAAATGTCTTGCAATTCTGGCTGTTGCTGAGGTGAATTTGACAAGTGACTTTCGGGTAGCTTCTTAGATGTCTTCAGAGGACAGAACTCCTGTTCTTTGAGCTCAGTTATATTTTCTGAAGTTGTAAGGTTAGTTTCCTTAGGAAACACACATGCTTGAAGATCCTCCTTCAAATCACACTCTGAAGAAGTACTTTCCATGAGAACTGTATTTTTTAGTGCACTTTCTTCTTTATCCAGAAAGTTTCCTGGAAGAGTTAAATTCTTCTGCATGTTTACATTTATGCCATTTGCATATTTTAAGTGTAGCCAGTTCTCACTAACAATGTCAGTGCAAATGTCCTCTTTTGGTGCTGAGATTTGGTTCTCTACAGTCTGATTCTGCTTTTCATCAGTAGTTGTAATGCCACTGCCAGTTACTGTGTTTGTTTTTTGTTTACTGTAGTAAACAGAACATTTATGTTTCTTCTGAGAGTGGCTATAGGTTGCTGGACTTCTCTTTGCAGCATTCTGGCTTCGGCTGGATGGAGTGCCTACAGAAAGGAAGCCTTTTCCTTTGCCTTTATCAGAGGTGCCACAGGAATCCATAAAGGTCTTGCAGCTGCCCCTGGAAATGAAATAAAGAAATTTTAAGGTTTTTTTAAATATATGTAAAACCATCATTAAATTATATCTTTTAAAAAAGTATTCAATGAGAGGCAGCGAGAAATATTAATGAAACATAAGAACTGGATTTCAACCTTCTTTCGGTATAAAACTCAGGAAGGGGCAATTTACCCGAAGCTATCTTCTGTCTTAACAGAAGTGAGTGCTCACAGTGTAAAGATTTCACTTAATGGCTATGGGTTAAATTCTCATCCAAGTTGCATACATGGCTCCTACTGTCTTCAAAGGCACCCACAAATGTGTTTCCAAGCCCGAGGTATGTGCATCTTGTTTGGCCGCACAGGGATTTGCATTTTTAATTACATCTAGATGTCAATAATATCAATGATCCCTACACAAAGGCTCTGGGCACCCAGATATTTAATTAAATGTTACAATTTCACTGTGATTTAAGCATGAGTTTAAGTGCTTTGACCAACTCCAATACATGTTCAAATGCTTGACTGAATTAGAACCTAGGTTCAGAGATTAAGATTTGATGGCCTACAAAGTGCTTTCCATTTCTAACTTCTGTGACTGTTATATATGTACATGTAATTCCCATCACACAGTACCAGTACCACGGCAGCTATGTAGTGTGTTTACATTACCCACCTTACATTTCATTATCTAGGTATTACTAGCAATACACAAGATTAGTTATTCTGAGTTTTGTTCATCTGTCATCTGTACAGATTAAAACACCAGAGTGCACCTGATTATGTCAGAATGTTGAAAACTCACTGAAACGAAGAAGTTTCTTGGAACAGTATCTTCCTAAAGGAGTTCACAGTAATATCATAGTACAAAGATTTAGAAAAGGCTATTCTATGTTAAACAGAGTGCAAATGAGAGCACTTCAGAAGAAGAAGAAGAATTTTTACTTGTAGGAATCGGAGCTGATTATATCCACAGGATTGCTGTTTTGCTGTGATGAAGAATTGGGATTTGGTCTCTGCCTTGATTTCATGAATTCTGCTAAAATGTACTGTGCTTGTTGGAAGGCTATTAGAATCACACCCAATAGGGACAAACTGCAAAAGAAAACAACAGGTTTCACTACATGCATCTCTCTAGACAAATGAACAAAAACAGACCAATTCCATAGCGAGAATTGTTTTTCAGACTAGGTGCTGGTAAATTCCAAACACTAAGATACCTAACATTAAATTGGAGGAATGGGGTATGGTACAAACAAACAGTTTCTAGAAGTAAAAATTATTACTGTTTTATTTTTAAGTTCCTGGAAGCTATGATTATTTTCTGGCAAAATAATTGAACTATTAGTTTTACAACAAAAACAAAAATCAAACCTAAAAAAACAAGATAATTTGAAGATTGAAGCTAAACTGAGGACAGACATATTTCATTTTGCTTAGATATAGCAGAGATCTCAAAACAATGCAAGCTGAATAGGGCATATTGTAATAAACAATGTACTTCACATATATGGGATATGTACATGTATTTGCAGGAAGACAGACTGGATGATCCATTAGATCCCCTCTCACTCAAACTTCAATGATTCTGTGATGTTATTATTTCTTAGGCACTAATAATGCACTCACTGCTACACAAATATAAACACAGTCACTCCCCTAAGCAACTAACAAGCTAAACTATAGACACCAAGAAGACAAATTGCACTGGAGGCCCCAGAGGGGAAAATAAACAACAACAAAAAAACCTCTCTCTCTTTTTTTTTTTAAATATTCTCATCCTTTCTAGAGAGGATGCTAACATATAATTTACTAGAAATATCAACCTTCATTCTTCGGGGGTCAATGTTTGAAGTCATAAAGGATTTTTTCTGTACAGTATATTATAGCACGGGTGAATTATGGGTAATTTCTTTTGCTTCCTCCAGAAGTAGTCTATATACTATCATCAGGAAGCCAAATATGTAAACTAATGGGAAATGGCTTTATTCCTATGTTCCTGCAGCATCTGTTAATCAGGCTTTTTCACAAAATACTTTTAGTTTGTATTCAATGCAAACAGAATTATTTTGGATTTCCAGGCCACAGAATAAGCATGCACTGACATGTTATAGTATTACCATGACATTTACATTCACATCCTATCAATTCTGAAAACTAAGAGTGAAACTATTAGGATTTAAAGATTTGTATGAAAATGGCACCAGAAATCATCTACATTGAGAACAGTTTCTCAGTTACATTATACAATCTAAAAGGTAGAATAGCGTGTGTATGTGAACGAACACACACACACACATATTACAGACCCAGAACCTCATCTGTTGTAAATTGGCATATGTCTACTCACTTCAACAGAGGTAAGCCAATTTACATCCGCTGAGAATCTGAGACACAAAATTAGCTAATGCACATATGCTGAGATACCTTTCCACCATAGCCTCTTCAAAAAAAAAACACATTAAACAAGAGTATGTTAAAAGAGGGTCTGTTTATTTGTTTTAAACAATGTCACTAAAACCGATGTAAACCTACCAGAAATGCTCAGGGTAGATTATATGTCCATTCAGTTCCTTTTGGGCTGCTCAGATAGTGACAGAAACCACCCACATCTACTGCTGGGGATTTCCATGGCATGGAGGAGAGCTCAGTGGTATAAAGTCACTCCTGGGGCCAGGGGTGCTGGAAGAATTTGTATAGCAGGAGTGGTGAGAGCCATTGAACCAAACTGTAAACCCTGAATAGGATGGAAGCCACTTCAAGCCAGGGAGTGCGGCAGCAGCCTCCCCGCATCCCTAGTTCCAGCACCTATGCCTGGGGCATAAACGAGGCAGGAAGGGGAAATGGCTAATGCTTACTCTGCTCTAACTATCCCCAGGTGACATATGGGCCCACAGGGCTCATATTCACCTGGCACAAGTTAGAACACTTGGATGCAACAGAGAATCTGTCCATAAAATGTATGACTTTACTAATAGCTTAAACAACTTTTATTTGCATCCATGCTAACCATCTATAGTTATCTAATAAAACACTGCCATAGGTGTGCATGGCACTTTCCAGGCAGCAGAAGACATGTTCTTTGCCCAAGAAACTTAAACTTATTATAAGTCCAATCCTGCAAAGTTCTGAGCATCCTCTATGTTCAGTACCTAGGTCTTTGAAGGATTAGACCCTAATTATACACCACGACATTACGCATTTCTCTAAAACTGACATTTTATATAAAGGTGGCAGCTGCTGACATGCAACTCAAAGAACCGAAAGCAACTATAAATCTTTGATAAATTGATTTTATTTTATTTTGAATTTGGATGAGGAGTGCAAGGTGCAAGAAGCAAGTATATTACCTAACAAAGAGAACTGTGAGCCTCCAGAAAGACTCTTCCCAGCTAGGTCCTGGCACCACATCTGCACACAAGGGTAACAAATGGTGAGGAAGGGTCACGTTGAGTGTGAAGTGGAACTCTACATCAGCAGCAGTCACCAAAGTAAGCTCACGGATTACCCACGAAGAAGTAAAATCAGGGGTAAACCTGTCAGCAAAATAAATGAGGCCAGTGTTATTTTTCTATAGTAAGATTTAGTTTTATTAAGATGTCATTGATTTAAAAATACTACACAGTTATCATAAACAGCTTCTACTTTTCTAAGCAATGACAGCTGCTTGCTTCAAGATTGCCTCCTGCTGACCAGTTTATGCAGTGATGTTATCATCTACCTAAGAGAAGCACTTGCCTGCCTGCTTTACAACTGTAATTGTGTTGGCATTCTCTGTGTGATACACTATAAGGTATTATTTAATTTTGATGTTTCCTCCTGGAAAAGGAGAATGGATAATCAACAAATACTAAATGAAATTCTTTGTACAGTGCTAAAATGTACAGACCTTTTCAAACAGTTGAGAGTGCACTGTATTTGCTCTATGTACAAGCACAATCACTGCATTACAATCATGCCCCTTTTTCCTTGTGGTTAAAATCTTGAGTTATACTTGCATGGACATTAGAAACAATACTTAAAATATGTATTGGTAGAAGCACCTGACTAGCTGGTACTAATGACTGTGATATGCATAGAAAATCAGCAAACAAATGATAAAACAATGAAAAAAAAAAGCAAATATATGTTGCTCATTTATCCTGTTCAACCGTTCAACTTTAATTTATTAATACTTCATAATGTAGTAATAAAAATACCGTAGTATGCTTTGTAAAAAAATTTTTACTAATATGAGACTTTACTATAGTACTTGCTTTTAACGTAACATGAACGGAAAAGAGGAGAGCTTTATATGTTTATTCAAAACAGACTGAGCTTCTTCTGTGAACTAATGAGGTGAGGTTCTTCTGCAATTTCAAATTCACACTTAAGATAAACTAATTTCTCGGTTAACAATCAATGCTTACACAATGCTGATCTCTCGCGAAGAATTCTGAGCCAGGAAAAATTCCTGACAATCTAACACTTCAAACCCATATCCTTGGCAACTGTACCCATTAATCTTCATAGATGATACAGTTATAGGAAGAGGCCCAATATTCTCCACTTTGAAATTCTTTGTGATAGATAAAATTTGCTTGCTGTCTTTCAGTTCTAAAGGAAACAAAATTAGCATTTAGTAACTACACAGCACAGAGAGTAATTTTACTTTTAATATTATTTTAGAAATTACTGCTTATAGTTCACATTTTTTAAAAAAAGTTCCAAAAGTGAGAGTTAGATTTTTCATTTGATAAATTGCATTTTGCAGTAACATATTACAGAATTTGTAAGATCATCAGCCTTGTGTTGTGACAAAACAGAACCTGCATCTGTTTTACTACTGGGCTATCAAGTTTTACTTTGACAAATTCAATTTTCATTAAATGCTGTAGCAGTATTAATAATAGGAAAAAAATAACAAAACAACAAATTAATTTCTATGCTGCTACACATTCTTTTTACTAATACCAAAATATTATCCAAAATGCTTTTTACTCAACACATGAAGTGTTCTTTATCATTACATCTACTGTCTGCACTAATATATATGGAGGTGATTTCTGATTTACAGGAAGGTAGTGGAGGGCATGCTTGATGGAAATGCTTTTTAAAGAGGATTCCCTGACCATCTGGGTTTTTTTGTTGATGTCAATACATGTAATTTACAGAATCCATTTCAGCCATCACAGCTGATCAAGGTTATGATTTTTCCCCTTTATGCTATTTCTGTATAACACCAGCATCACTATAGTCACAAACTAAATGGAGCACAGTAATGCATTACTACAGGATCAGAGACCTGTTTTTAGTTACTCACGTCGTCTGCAGTCCATGAGTGTAGCTTCTGGCACCTTAAATCTAAGTGACCCTCCTGCACCTGGCAGTCTTCCACCTACTTTTAATAATTCTCTGGCTCCAAAGCCTTCTACATTGACCACATCCAGAACAGTCAAGTTATTTCTGTCATAACATGAAAAACATGCAATCAGCTTTTGATACAGATAAGATAACTCAGCAAAACAACCCCACTTCTATCACAATCTTGGTGCTTGGTGCCAATCCATCACAGTTCCCACCTCAGCAGCTGCAGAGGTCACGCAGCAGCAGAATCAGTGTGCAAATTGTGGATCAAATTCACGCCCATACAGCAGGTCAGCACAAGGCCTATGCACCACTGAAGTCCCACGTAGGCTTTCTGAGCAGAGGTGATTTTCACCCCCTGTGCAGTGCAGAGCCAAATTCCATGGAGACCTTCTCCAAGATAATGCACACAGAGCAGCTGGGAGCCAGAGGGTCTGCCACTGGATAACAGCTGTCTCAGCTGGTGAGAGAGGTGTGAAAAATTCCTCCCTTACCAGCACTCTCTTCCTGCAGAGATCCTAGTACACAACCTGCTATTCACGCTGGGCTCTGGGTCCCTGGATTTAGTCCCATAAGAGCCAATGTAGTCTAATTGATCACACTACTAACATTACTTGGATTCTTAACATCAAGGAGTTAGATGAAAATCACGTTTTAGTGATAAGAGCCAAATTAATAAACCTCTTCTTCTATATACACAGGAACAAAACTGATGGGAAATCGAAGGTATTATTCTGCAATGTCAACCACTGGAACTATATGTTTTTGTGACTATATGTTACATGCTTATCATGTACAAAAAAATCATTTCAATTAGAATTCTATTTATTACAGTGTCCACTTCCACAGGACACAAGTGCAAAGTGTATAGCAGATTTTGAAAATATTTTAAAGTGAAATGGAGGTATTTAAAATGGAAATGTGGTGTATTTGTCTCTGCTGCAGTATTTGGCAAAATTATTTTCTTGAAGCTGTTTATTTATTGCTTACAAAAGCTAGGTTAAATTCAGAAGCTGGCCTACCTGATTAATATAAGGGATGCTACTCTTTTGTAGTCAACTGGTGTAAAAACTACACCAATCCTTCGGGTTTCCAATGGTTGCAAATGTAACTGAAGCACCTCAGAACTGGATTTCATGTTAGTAAGGTCCTCCTGATGTGCATCCTGCTAAACAAACATGCATTTATTTATTTATTTGGCATAACCCTTTAAAAAAACCCATCCCAATACAGCAGACATTACATCGCTGCTCAGCACTGTGTAAAAACATCTCTGGGTAAGGTGCAATTACTGCCATTTAGCTTATTTATTTTATGAAAATTATTTCTTATCTGACAGCATAAACCCCATCATATAAAGCTGTTTATTTGATCAAAAGTTCACATGACAGCATTTCTTTCATTATGAGGAATGTATTATTTTATTTTTTTAAATCAGATTTTACTTGCTAATATGGAAAAGTATTTATTTTTATACAGTAGCTTTCATATTAAAGGAATCCCCAAACCACTTTACAAAGCAGGAAGAGTGGTAGTGCACTGACTGTATAGGAAAATGTGGCAACCATTATGCACACAGCATTGGACATTAGAACTTGATTTAATTGATGGAGGGACTGTTGGCAAGTAGTACAATCACTTGAGCCACTGGAAACACACCACAGAGAACTCCTTAACATTGTAACACCACCACCACCACCAACGCAGTAAGGCTGGAAATATTATCAAGTTT